AGTGTGAGCTTGTAAGGCCATCTTGGAGTGCATTTTGGTGTTCTTGAGGAGGAGTAATCATCTTGGAGTTTCATTGATTAGGGAAGAGCTTTTGGATCCAGGTTCTCTAGCTCATTTGCAAGCCTCATAAGGTATACAGTTTCTACCTTGTTGTCTTATAGCGTGAGATCTAGATTAGAGCTTGTTTGGTGTTTCTTATGGGCTTTTGACTATCTCTTGGGAGTTGAGCAACCCCAGATCTTAGGAAGAGTAGATATGATGTCCTTTGGTTCATCTACTTCATAAAAATGCAATCTTGATGAGTATTCTAACCTTATGCATGGATTAAGACCCTTAGAAAAGTCTTAATGGGTTTTTAGGAGCATTTGGAGCATGCAAAGGCATAAAGTTGCCAAATTTATGCCTTAAGACATTTTAATGGACCTAGATCTGAAGTTTGATGTTGAAATCCCGAGTATTAAGCACTTGATGGAAAAGTAGCTTAACAGAGGAGTACGCTGGGCATACATGCAGGTACGCGCAGCGTACACCACTTTCAGTCGGTACGCATAACGTACATAAGAGTACGCCGCGCGTGCTCATCAGTTTTGGGCTTGAAGTGTTTTGGGCCTCGGGTTGGGCCAAGCAATCGACTTTGGGTCTTTGGGCTTCAGTGGGCCATCAGGAGTCAGATGTTTTGGGCCAGGAAGATGTTTGCGCTTAGGGTAAGGCCCATTAGAGGGGTTAGGCCCAATTGAGCAAGTTGGGCCATTAGTGGACCACTAGTGGACTTGGAAAGCCTACCTAGTGTTGGTTTTTGTTTTGAGGATTGGGCCTTAGTTTTGGATCATACTGGGCCAGGGGTAAAATGGTCATTTTACCCCATACAGGGATTAATGATTATGGTATGGGACCCAGTTGCTATTTGGGGGTATTGATCGGTGTTGATGGTTCAGGAAGTGGACGAGGCAACAACTAAGGACTTCTTTAAGAAGCTTCTGCATTCGAGGTGAGTCTTCTCACCAAACCAATGGGTCTAAGGCACCAAGGCCGGCCCATTTTATGATAGTTGATATACTTGCTGTGTAGAGGTGTGTGGCATTGTTATGCGTTGATATGTGGTAGAGCTAGCTTTTACAACTAGTGGTAGAGATAACCTCCAGGGATAATGGTAGACATAGCCTTCAGGGTGTCACAACTAGCATTTTAGTTAGGAAATTTTGTACTCATGTAAATGTTATCTATGATAATACTTGTAACTCTAGCCTGATGTTATGCACTATGTTCATTCTATGACAACAAACTTAATCAAGATTCATTAGTGAAGTTCAACACTCTATACAAAGTATTTTAAATAGTCAATTGGGAATTGAAAACCCTAAAAATCCCGGTTCAAGTTCATTATGGACAAGGATTTTCTTATTTGGGCCTAATGGACCCATAAGAACTCAATTTAACTATATTGGGTTTGGAACCCTTAAATGGGCTCTAAATGGACCCACATTCATAAAACTTAACATTTTGGGCCGCATGGGTTTAAAATGGATTTATTTACCTCTAATGGGCCTTGTTGGGCCATAAACTCATTCTTTTATATCATATTTAGGCTGTGAATACTCACAAGGGCCCAATTGGCCGGCAATCATTATTGGGCTCAAAAATTTTGAGCTAAGTCTAGAATGGGCCCAAACTATCCCATTCTTATCCCTCTTAACCCAAAAATCTCAACCCAGTGCATATATATATATATATATATATATGTGTGTGTGTGTGTGTGTGTGTGTGTGTGTGTGTGTGAGTGTAAAAAAAAGGATTAACTTGCAATTGATACATCATATTTTCCTGGTGGTCTTCTATGCAAATTAACCTTTAAGTAATTCATAAATCTCATGCATCTATGTACCCATCACATCCTCTCTCCCTCTCTTTATCCCTCTCGGCCGAGAACAAAAACACACACATCTTCAAAAATTTCCTTTCAAACTCTCTCTAATATCTCAAGAACTTCTTCACTGTCCTCTAAATTTCGAGGCTTTAAGGTGTTTCCAAGAGGATTACTTCATCAAAAACTCACTCATTGTGGTAAGGCTTGCAAACTTAAATGTATTACTTCATCTTTAAACACCTTTCCTCCTCTTACACTATTGTTTTCATAAATAAGGTTCTTAGAACATCTTAAGGCTTTAGATCTACTCAAGGAGCTAGAAAATCACATCATCTTCTTCCATTTATTTTTCAAAACCGAAACATTAAAGCAAAGGTGAGTTCATACCCCTTTGCTTTCGGTTTTTATTTGTTTTTGGGGGAGAATACAAGTGTTATGTGTTGATCTATGTGTTTATGCATGTTATATGTGCTTTCTTTGGTTTATTAAGGTGAAAATGTGTTAAAACTTGATATATTTCGAAATCTATAACAAAATGGGAGAGATTCATAAACTAAAACACATTATTCAACATAATACAAAGATAAAAGTGTCTTATATGCTTAAGATGTGAAAAACTAAACAAAAATCTTGTATAAGGAATCATTTTGACAAATAAAGTAAAGTTTTGGGAGAAATGTGACATTTTTGGTTTTATAAGGATCAAAAAGGTTATATTTGCATAAAACTGAGTTTTTATGATAATCACACTTTTCAAATGACCAAAGGTGTAAATTTTAGCATAGTGGGCCTAAATTTTTGGGCCTTACGGTTTTGGGCCCAAAATGCAAAAATATAATTTTTTAGGGAATAAAATCTTATTAATTCAAAAACTTGAGCTAAAAATAAAAATAAACAAAAGTAAGGGTTAAAAATGACACTTATTTCTAAATTGGGCCAAAAATGTAAAGTTTACGGATATTAGGCCAAAAATGTAAATTTTTACAAAGTAAGGGTTGGAAATGTCAATAAATGTATTTTGGACCGAAATTGTGAAACAAATTTATAACTAGCCGAAAGTGCTAAGTTTAATGGTTTAATGGGCTAAAAATGTTATTTTCACCAACAAGGACCAAAAATGTCATTTTATTTAAACAAGGGTTAAAAATAAAATTTTCGGTGAACAAGGGGCTAAAATCGCCAAATATGTATTTTTGGGCCAAATATGTCAATTATTAAACAGCTGGACTAAAGATATAAAAACTTAAGGGTTAAAATGGTATATTTTTTTTATATAAACTAACAATATCGTTATAACAAAACATTTGGCTTTTATAACATTATGGTAAACGTTTCAACCAAAAGAATCCATACTATAACAAACAAACGAAATACAATAATGGTATGAATATTGGACATAGTACTTGCTATACATGCTTATTGGACCTTCATGATCCATTTGCATGATTATTGGCCCCAATATATTTATTACATTTCTATTGGTCCTTAGTGACCCAATTACATGCTTAATGGGCCTAAGTTAGCTTTACATGTTATTGGGCCTTAGTGGCCCATTTACATGCTAATTTAGTCTGGATAAATTCTCATATGTTTAATGGGCTTTAACGTGTCCATTTGCATAATATCAAGCCTGAAAATAACTTACATGTCTAATGGGCCACAGTTGTCCCTTTTTCATGTTCGTTAGGCCGTATCTTTTCACATTCAAGTATCATCTAGTGATTGTAAATCAAAATACATATAACATTAAACATATTCATGTGGCAATCATTGGGATCTAGTGAAAATTGTTGGTTGACACCATTAAGTGCTTGGCCGTAGCCTATAGTTATAATCAGAGTCTCCTGGAGGGAGAGTGAGAGTTTGTATATAGATCTATACGGGGGTGACTCCCCCATACCTGAGTTGTTTGCTACAGTTAGACTCGGCCAGTCTAGGGTGGCAAAATCTTGATCAAAACCGGCGTTTGGAAAAATGCCAAGACGGGCGAATTAGTCATTATCATGTATGGTTATAACGACTCACATAGAGATCCATTACCATTGATACAATACGGAAATCAAAGTGCTCAAATCATAATAATACGAAAACAATTCATACGGTAATACAAGGACTACGACACTTTTATAAATCAGAAAATATCGGATTTTATGGGGAAATACTATTATTCATTGCCTTCTACTTACAGCATATACAATACAAGGGAATTTTTGAATTGCTTACTCATACATGTTTTTACAATAGAAATCATACATACATTTATACTCGGCCATTACATCATTTTCATACAATTTACAGAAAATATTGGATTTTTTGGGTTATAAAAACATTACAAAAATCTTTCAATCAAACATGCTTATGAGCTCGCCAACATTATATATGTTGACCATTTTCAAAATAACTTGTATTCTCAAGTATCCGTTAAGCGGAAGAATCACCAAGTGTGTTTTGGAAACCTCCTTTGTGTAATGTTGACTATGGTGCAATTTATGTTTCAAAATATGTAACATTAAACAATGTACTTGATGTGAACAATGACGGTTGTATTATGTAATGCATGGTGATGTTTAATTTATGTTATGTTTCATGTATACTCATTGTGATGATATTTCAATTGATAGTCACACGAGCCCTCAGACCTTTCCGCCATCTGGTTCGAGGGTGTGATAGGTTTGTATCAAAGCATTGTTTATAGTGAACTAGCATATCTAACCATACATGATATGCAAATATAAACACAACAGGACTAAATAACTTTGAACAAAATAAAAATTTCATACTTATGTGCGCATATTTGGATAACAACATAGTAATACTTAATAAAAGTTTTTGGAGGATTTGAATTTTTTAATTGTGCACGGACAATTATGTAATCGTATTGGGGGTGAATGCAACCTGATCAACTACATTCATCCAAAGTATGATTGACATGTGCTCGGGAGTGATTGTGATGGACAATGAACCAAAAACTTACCCTTTTAGAATATCCAGAGAGGAGTTTATAAGACCAAACATAAATAATTAAGTAGAAGTAATCCAGGTGTAATTTAGCATTCATCATTTTCGTGCAGACGTCATGGCCGGATTTCATCACCCCATAGATCCTTATTTCCCCAACCAGGGAAATAATGGGCGGATGGAAGAACCGGAGGAGGAGCCTGAAGAAAACCCTGAAGGAGGCCCTGCCATGGGTCAGGAGGTGGGACCTGAAGTGGAACTGGAAGAGTATGTGGTAACTGATTACAAATATGGTGATTCTAACCAGGATTTAGATGATGGAAAGGAAATTGAGGAGACACATAGTGAACCCCACCTATTGGAAGCCCCATCAGATCCACGAACGGTTTAGAAGAGTGATACATACCATATACACTCTCTTAAGGAAGAAATAACCAATCTCAAGCGTCAACTCTTTGCAGCCGAAGCTATGGCTATACGAGCTGGAAAAGGGAAGAGGTAATCACCCAAGAGGTGAATGAACTGGCTGAACTTCTGATACGTCAGCTCGACGATTGAGTGTCATTGCCATCACTACTGATTGGACTTGCTCTATTACTTGTTATTATAGGTATCACATATGCAGAACCACCCGTATCTACTACTAGTATTGTGTTTCTTCTATGCGTACTACCCTATGTACTATTGACCTTATGTCGTAATGCTGTCGGATCATACATTTTTCCTACGTATTATATCCCTTTCAGGAAAATTTTCATGTATTAAAATGACTATTTCTAGTAGAAATGCTATGTGTTTTAATATGAGGTTAAGCTTATGTGCACAAACCAACCAACGAAATCTCTAGATACTCAAGAACCTCGAAACCAAAATAATCTATGAACTCTATGAATAAAACTTAAAAAATCGTGCCAAATCTATGATTACCTACTATAATAAATACATCATAGGGATGTGGATTGAAACATTATGAATCAGAACGAAACACGAAGGTTAATGAGTACCACCGGAAATGACCATTATTACTTACGATCCTGCTTATCATCATGCAACAAGAGGATGTTATTCCACAGAGCTAACAAGCACACCTGTGAAACACCTATCCTGCAGATAGACTCTACTACATTCCAAGCTATGGTAACAGCTGCCGTAACCATTGCCATGGCATAACTCAACGCAAACAACATCAATAAAGGGGGAAATAGCATCGACAACTCTAGCCAAAGTAACTAGCAACAAGTGACACTAGTGTGTGTTCTTGGTGTTCTTTGTGAAACTTGAAGATCTATGAAAACATGATTTTCATGGATGAAATCATGAGAGAATGCTAGATTAAGAGGTGTATCAACAAATCTAGGTAGAATACTTACATCTTTTGAAGATCTTGGAAGGAAGTCTCGATGATACTTGAGAGGATTTGAAGGAAAATCAGCCAAGGAAAGAAAGAATGAGAAAAATGGCCAAGTATCATCTATATATACTTGATTTTATGGCCACATGAGTTTACGGCCGTAAACTCATGGTCTTGTGGCCGTGAACTCATTTTGAGGAGGTTATGGTTTGATTTGCTACACTGTGGTTCTAGCAGGTACTTTCTAACACTTATTCCTTAAGCGTATTAGGCTCAAAACGCTCAAACAGACTCTAAATTGTGCTAAATGATAGCAGGAATGAGTTTGACACTAAGTTGAGTTGACTGACTGAGCTTTCAAAGCAATATAAAATTTCGGGTTGTCACACAAAATAACTTGTATTCTCAGGTAGCCGTTAAGCGGAAGAATCACCAACTGTGTTTTGGAAACCTCCTTTGTGTAATGTTGACTATCGTGCAATTTATGTTTCGAAATATGTAACATTAAACAATGTACTTGATGTGAACAATGACGGTTGTGTTATGTAATGCATGGTGATGTTTATGTTATGTTTCATGTATACTCATTGTAATGATATTTCAATTAATAGTCACACGAACCCTCAGATGTTTCCACCGTCTGGTTCGAGGGTGTGACACAGGGCTAGTGGTAGAGATAGCCTTCAGGGCTAAAGATAGAGATAGCTTGTATGGCTAAGGGTAGAGATAGCCTTTGTGGCTAATGGTAGAGATAACTTTATAGCTAATTGATATGTGTTATGTGGTAGAGGTAGCTTTTATAGCTAATTGATATGCATTATGAGGTAGGGGTAGCTTCATAGCTAATTGATATGTGTTACATGGTAGAGGTAGCTTTTATAGCTAGCATGTTATGTGGTTTGTGTGTGGGGTATACTCTTGGGAACTCACTAAGCTTTGTGCTTACAGGTTTGTTTATTGGTTTCAGGTACTTCAGACCCCAACGACAAGGGCAAGGCGTGATGACGCGACGTGCACTCTCTCGTAGACTTTTTAGGACACTCTAAGTTGTATTTAACTTATATTTTGAAAACAATTATAATAGGATTTCTTAATATATGTAACGCCCGTGTTTCTAGGCTTGCCATTTTTAGCAATGTAATAGTCTAGGTTAACCTTGTAACTCAACTTGAAATAATAAGAATGTATTATTTGTGAATTATTTGAATTATGTGATTTATGTGTGTATTTTCTTAATTTTATAATTTAATAAATTAAGAATAAAATAAGCGTCAAAATTTAAGTGTGAGATAAGCCCGGCATCTTTACATAAAGTTGTAGTGGTCGAAACAAGGATTTCGGAGATATAAGGAATGCCAAAATCCGAGTTATAACGAAGAAGTTATGACCTGTCGAAGTTTCGCGACAGAACCGACACGACGCTGAATGACGTAAAATATGAATTTAAGATAGAGCGATATTTAGCCTTAGCAATCTAAACGAAAGTCGTAGATTTCGTTAAACTGAGAGCATGCATAAAAGGAACGCCCAAATCTGACTTCGTATGAGGAAGTTATGATTTTATGAAGTTTCGACTTAGCAGTATACAGCCCGAATACTCGATTTGAGATCGAGCGGTTTTTAGCCGAAACAATCTAAATGAGAAACGAAGATCTCGTTGTTAGTAGCGAAACGATGACAAGTTAGGCGAGGACGGACGTCAGACGAAGAAGTTATGAATTTATAACGAAGTTTTTCTGTCCCGGCCTTCTAAAAATAAATAATAAAAATAAAAGTCAAAATTAGCCGACGGAGTCTAAATGAAAGTTGTAGAGTATGGTCTGACCTTCGCGTGGATATAAAGAACGTCGAAAACGGAGCTCGTATGCGAAAGTTACGCAATTTAGAAGTTTGACAAGTCAATTACGCCCCGCGTAATTTGTGTACGCCCCGCGTACTCAGTCGGATGCAACTTGTCTGACCAATACTCAAGTGCCACCAGTCGACGCACGCAGTGACGTCAAAGTACGCCCCGCGTAACCCGAGTACGCCCCGCGTAATCCCAGACCCAGCAGCCTATAAATAGAACTCGAATTCAGCCATTTTCTCTTGTTCAAACTCTTCCCTCTCTCTAAGTTTTGCCTCGATTTGCGTGCCGTTTATACCCAAAGCCCCGGTAATATTCCCGAGCCCCGAAGTAAGATCCGAAGCCCCGAGGATCCGAAGAGCGTTATTCCCGAGCCGAAACGCTGCCCGCGAGGAGCCCGGTTTTGTGAAGATCTTCCAGATCTACGGAGAAACACCTCTTCTGCAAGCCGTAGTGCTGCCCGATCATCTTTGATCAAGTGAGTGTGTAGTTATTTTCATTCCAACGCAATATTATGAAGTATTTTCTATAAAATACGTGTTATGTGTATATATTTGGTTGTTATACGTGTGAGTGTATATTCACTCTCTTCTATCTTATAGATCTGATGTATTCTCTATGAAATACGTGTTATGTGTGTATGCCTCATCTGTTATGTGGAATATGTATTGCTTAAAGCATGTTATACAGGTTTTTAAACTATGTATAAAAATGTATATTTTTATCTACTAATATGTTGGGTAGAACATGGGTAGATAATTGGTGTGTAATAAACAGATGAGAGGCCTCGGTGTTATTGGTGTTATTCTAGTCATTCAGCAGAGTATGGATGACGACCACGGACTATTCTAGACTGTCCTGTGGAACACTAGCAGGCTCATTACCTGTAGGTGTTGTGAACGACGTGTTCACCGGTGTACTCTATCCCCCACATGGTTGCCTTTAGGACACTTATTGTTGAGGAAGCCCCTCTGCAGTAATGTCCGTCCCGATGAAAAATCCTGAAATAGGTTCCTTATAATAGACGTTATTTTTAGGAACGTAAGGTGAGGATAACGGGAATGGGTAATCGGGTTTATTGTTGATGGTTGAAATTAAATATAATTATTGTAGGTTGAAAACCCTATATGCTCACCAGGCTCCCAAGCCTGACCCACTCAGTTGATTTATTTTACAGGAAGTGGCGCAAGAGCTTAAGATGGGCGAACATCAAGTTGTTTTGTTTACAAGTCTGTATATGTATATATTTGTTGAATGACTTGTAATGCTATCGTTTATGCTTTATGATCTGTATCGGAACATGATATCCCGACTTTTGAATAAAAAATGAAATCATATGTCTTATGAAATGTTTTGATAAATATCTATTTTATCATGTTTTGTTTTTGGGAACAAATTTCGCATCTCTTTTAAAATTAAAAGGATTTACTCTGAAAATTATTTTAAAAAGCATAAATGAAATCGGTCTTTTCGGGCTGAGATTTTGGGGATGTCACAATATATGACATCATGTTTGCTTATTCTAAAATGAAAATTTTACTTTGAAATTTGGGTCGTTACACTTATATGACACGTAGTCTGAAGATCAAAACATGTGTCCCAGAGTTGTCCTAAAGCTGACACATCATGTGGATAATACCATTGCAATGATGATTATAAGATCACATACGTGTAAGAGATCTAAAACCACCATCTGTATCGTAAATAGATTGATCAAACGAACCCACAATAACTAGTTTAATACCCATGGACACCACATTTAACAAATTAAAAGGAATATTTATACTTCAAAAGCATAATCATTAATCAATGATTCTGCAGCAGTTATTAATTTGGTTATATTTTGGTAATTGTTTGTTTGGTTATAGTTTGATATGTTGGTACTTGTTAGTTTGGTAATAGTTTCATATGTTGGTAATTGTTAGTTTAGTAATAGTTTTATATGTTGGTAATTGATAGTTTTGTTATAGTTTGATATGTTGGTATTTTTTAGTTTAATAATTGTTAGTTTAGTTATAGTTTGATATGTTGGTAATGTAATTTGTAGTTTGGTATTTGTTAGTGTGGTTATATGTTGGTAATGTATAGTTTGATAATTGTTAGTTTCGTAGTTTGATATGTTGGAAATATATTTTGTATTTTGCTTATATTTTGGTAAGTTGTTAGATTAACTTATAAGATTATGTTGTTTCTTATGTAGTTGAATATGCTTCAAACACTACTAAAAAACCCTACATGTAGTGCAACACTTGAAGTATAGTTTCGATCGTTGCTACCACGAAATGATATCAGAGGGAACAAGGGGAGCAATAATGATGTGTAGCTAATTTTAGGATTCATATAATGCTTTGTTAGAATTATAACGTATTTTGTACTTAATGTTTTGATTCATATTTTGGGAAGTCGTATTATTAAATTTTAATGTACGGATCTATATTTCTGCAATAATATTTCGTAGCATTATTTTATTTTTATAACGTTTTTTCTGCATTTGGAAGGTACTGTTTCAAAAAAAACTAAAGAAAACTACATTTAGTGGCAATGGATGACATTAGTGGCGACGCATGACATTAGTAACGACATAACATTTAATGGTGACTATTGGAGCATTAGTAACGATGCAACATTGGCGACCCTTTAGCGGCGGCATGTTGTCACTAAAGGTATTGCGGCGACAATCTGGATCTTTAACGGCGAAACCCATCGACACTAAAGATCATTATTCTTGTATTGTGTCTTACACACAGACCATTTATGTAATTTCGTCTATTTTATATAGTAGGAATATTTCTGTAATTTTATCTTAGATGAGAGTCATTTTTGTAATTTTGTTACACATGAACCATTTGTAATTTTCAATAATTTTGTTATATAGAGATCATTTCTTAATTTTTGTCCTACTCGGACCATTTTGATGACCTTGTCCTGTGTCTTACACAGGGACCATTCCCATAACTTTGTTACATATGGATAATTTATGTAACTTTCTCTTCACTATTTCTATAACTTCGTCTATTTTCTATTTTCTACCGAGGGACCATTTCTGTAATTTTATTATATATGGACCATGTCTGTAATTTTTTCTTATATATGGACCATTTCTGTCGTTTCGTCTATTTAAAGTTATAGGAACATAAATTGCAATTTACTAATAAAAACACAGTACCTTGAACAGTAAAACAACATCATAAATGTTAATGTATATAATAGGTGTTTTGTATGTGTAAAATATATAAAACTTCTCTTAATAATAATTTAGTGAAGTCGCAATTTAGATTACTGTATTACCTGTGTTATTTATGTTAAATCTTACGTCCTAGTGTCCTATGATAATTGGAGTAGCAAATTTGACGTAATTAGTAACACCATACCAAAGGGCTTCTAGCCCAGCGGTATCCGGTGTTGCCCTCCCTACTTGAGGTTGAGGGTTCAAGTCCCGTCGTGAACATAGGTGGATTTAAGGTGTAGTTTAGGAGTAGGTTAGATTTACCGTTTAAAAAAAAAAAAAAAAAAAGTAACACCGTTGTCATCATTGTGTGTTAGGACTATCTTAACATATTTTTTTTTTTTTTTTTTTTTTTTTTTTTACTGAAACAGATACGTCTTTGAAGCGGATATTTTTATTTTCATAAACGCAGATTTGGTGTTAAATAATAAATATAGTATATAAATTGGAGTACACCAAATTTGGTGTATAATTTTTTTTAAATATGGCGTAAGACCAAATATGGTGTGACATTCAATGCATTCATTGGATATACTCTTTCACTTACACATGGTCAATGAGTTTGTTTAAAAAAAATTAAATATAAATATTTAAATATTTAAGAAATTTAAATTTATAAAAAAAATGAAAAAAAAAATTATTAAATTTAAAGTGTTTTTTCTTTTATAAATTTACTAGATTATAGCCCGCGTTAAACGCGGGAAACGCATAAAAAAACATATAATCGTTTATAAATATTGTATAATGATTATAAAAAAAATATATGGCTATTGGTATTATTGAAATATATAGAAAATACATTGAAAACGTAAATATATATAATCATTGAAAGATCTCTTTGTAGACATCATTTTTTGTTTTATTAGTTGAACGATTTTCATCGTCTTATATAATTATGATATTTATATATTTATAAGCATTTTAATTAGACGTTCATTGCATAATAATGTTACCTAATTTAAACATATATTGACAATCAATATACCATTTTTTCTATTGCATTAAATATTAACAACTATTTTATTTATTCAAATAAAGTTATGTAATATAATTTATAAAGTGTTAAATGTTATATAGATTTAATTTTAGTATATCATCAATGGAGATTCTTTTCTAAATCATGATTGATTTATTTTAAATTGATTATAAATATAAATGCTAGTTTTTATGTTTGTTCTTATTTATTTAGTGTTCGCAAAAATTTTGGCGCAACTTTGAATAATTTTAGTATATCAATTTATTTTGATATATCTGTCAATTATATGAAATATCAAATAATGACATTTCATTACTATTGTGATAATTTAGTTTATATATTCTATTTTCACTAATCTTAACGGTCTTATTTTTTCTAATAACCGTAACGCTTTTACTAAATGTAGTTTTTACAAATCTCCTAATATCTTATAATTTTAATCTTACTTTATAATTTTTCATAACTATGTTATTTTCAAAATTGACTGCTTTAATAGTGTTTTTTTTTTCAGTCTATTCAATTTTATATTTCATTGTACAACATTATCGTTTGTATGTATTCTGAAATTTCACTTTAAAAATGTTTAATATTTACACCTTGATATTAATTTTTTTTAATAAACTTATGTAATAATTGTGGAATATATATCTCATTTTAATTAACATTCACTTCCTTTATTATATCAAATTCCTTATTAAACGGATATACTTTTGGAAAATAATAATTATAATAGGGCAGCATTATCTAAAACGTAAATGTTTGATATACTTTTGGAGAAAAAAAAATCAGAATCATTAAAAAAAAATTTATATAAAGAAAATACAAATTTAAATTTGTTGAAATTATGGATGAAATTACTGACGAAAATTTATTTTGGAAGGAGTTGTATTTTGTAAGGTATAATAATATTACAAAATTAGAAATATCTATATTTGTTGTGTAAATTAATAAATTTTATTGTTACTATACGAAGATAAAAAAGTAGGTTGATATGATATCTAAAAACATAATAATTTCAATGATATTTTAAAATCATGCCAAAATTAACCAGATTCTTATGACATAAAAATTAAAAAAAAAAAATCATAATCATCTCTAATATATAAAAGTAACATTTTCGTAATTAATGTCAGTTACCAGGATAGTTATTTTTTGTTTTGTTAAAGGTACCTAATACCTTTTCATGTTTATTTGAAAAGTTTCAGAAAAGTAGTTAACTGATTTCATGTAATTTGTGACAAAGAAAATCGAAATATATGAATACATACATTTGATATAGGAACAAAAAATGATCGAAAAAAATATAAAAAGCGAAAGAAGGTACTGACCTTCTAGCGCACAAGAGCTAATGTTGATAGCAGAGAATGATGATGGAAGTTATAAGCAATATTAACGATGTTGTAGGAGAATGTTTGAAGAAAAGAAACGATTGAAAATAAATGTGAATCGCGGATTCAATGATGAATCGTATATGTATGTGATAATTAGAATATGATTTTTCGGTATTAATGATTTCCTAATAAAAAAAAGATTTTATATTACTGGTTTACTAATATAAACGGATTTGTATTAATGGTTGATATTAAGGCCTTGATTGAAATGATTTGTTAGTAATATATTTTTAAAATTGATCATATTAAAATCTTCATAACTAAAAATTCAAGATGTAAAATATGGAAAACTTTTATTGGAATTAAATACATTCCATTTCAATGAATGTAAATTATTGATTGATGATTGGAAAACATTTATTGGAATTAAATACATTCCATATGGGGATGATGATGTCAGCAATTTGATCTAAGAGTGGAAAAAATAAGATTGAAATACAATCAATGGTCCAGATTATTTAAGATGATGTCATAAAGTTTCTCTTTTAGTAATATTTAAGAAATAAATAATTTAGATAAATAAAGAAAGAAACTAATGAGGTTTTAATTTAGGATTTTTTTTATTTGAAAATGAGATTATCTTTCGCAAATATTAAAAAAAAATTACAAAGAAAGAACGCCTAAGAAAAATAAAGACAGGCTGGGAGGGTACCTAACATACATCATCAACTCTCATCAACTGGATTAGAGATATGACCACAATGAAAGAAACTCGGTTGTGTGTCGGAAGTTGGGAGGGTATCTCTGGAGTAGATGTTAGGAGGGATACTACAACCGTCTTTAGTATCGTTAACTCTTTGATGCGAAAAAGCATCAAACATGTTGGTCGACACATTCTTCGTCTTCGGATCACGAATGATTAGCTTGTAGACTTGAGCGATCTTTAAAGCGAACCCTTTACTTTTACGGTTGTCTACTTGAACCTTCTTTTTAAGGATATGAATTGCTCTAGCTCTCCTTTTAACCGTTTGAAAACATTCTTTATCAACTTCTTTTGGAATGGGCATGGCTGTCTTTAGGACGGGAGAGCTAGTCGTGTGAGTGAGACAAGTGGCAAGGTCATGACCAAAAAGTTTGCAATGGTCACATCTCTTAGGGATCCAAGAATACTCCACTCTTAGGGTAGTAGAAGTAGCACCTTTAGCAGTGAATGATTTGATTTTCATATATTTTTCCCAAGAATCTTTAGCCGACATCTCCATGAGAATACAAGCATGAACCGCTCTACCTATAGCCCGCTTACTAGCAATAAGACTTAGACCATCTCTATTAAAGAGTTGAAGGGAATGCCAAAAATATTAACCCAAACAGGAACCTGGTCATGAGATGTTTTTTCAATAAAAACATCCGGGTCTCATTTACAGAGAAAAAAAAAGGATACCTTGATCTTCCAAATTCCCTTTTGAAGAACATAGTTCATACCTACATCATTATCGAATTTAAAAAAGAACACATCATCGTCGTTAATAAATGATGACACAAAGCCCATATTCCTTCCATAATTCATGAGTAGATCTTTAACAAAAGGAAAAACAATTCTATCTCCCACAAAATAACCATATAGATCCGCTCAAAAGGAATGTTACCTTGATCCATGATTTATGAAGGAATAATGTGGTCGTCCTCCAAGGTTCCAAAATTATTTATAAATTCAAGAGTTAAAGGCTTGCAATTTAGAACTTCCTCATTAATTTTTAAACTGGCAGAATCATGCACGAAAGGAATTGGTGTCGAGGTGGGCCTTCCTTTGATGGGCAGCCTTCGAGCAAATCGGTATATGAGAAACTTAGGGCAGACACCGCATTTCGCAATCTCGCTCAAAAGAATAAGCCCATGGGCCAATAAGGCCTGCCCATTTAGATTATTAATTTTAAAAGAAAAATGCTGTGAAATGAAAATTTTCCTGCGAAAAACACAAATTTTCAAAATTTTCAGACGTTGTTATTGGCAATAACTTCTCATCTCTAAAAAGTATATGACAAGTTGGCGACATTCGTCCTCTCTGAAAACCCATCGTCAAAAAACTGTTTTCTATAGTGATGCATATCATTCATAATATTTTGGATGTGTTATTATTTTATCCATTCATCTCATTTGTAAAATTTTGTACTTAAACCATTAGTTTCCCATCTTGAGGAATAAAGAAGATTGTGTTGCATACCTTTAGCATGTAAAGCTAACATATATATATATATATATATATATATATATATATATATATATATATATATATATATATAGAAAAGTGAATATACCCTTAAGGGTATATAAACTTAGGTACCCAAACTCACTATACTATATCGTTTTGTATCATATAATACATTCTAATTATCTAATCTTCTTATAATTTAACTTCTAATTTGATTACTTTCAAGATTTTTATAAATTACACATTTATGTTCCTCTTACATAAGTTTCATTTTCAAATATAATATATATAGCCTAGTAGGTGTTCGAAAAAAGATGTGATGTAAGAGCAATACAATAGAGAAATTTCGAATATCTTGAAATTAAATCAAGTTAGGCTTATGTATTTTTGTTTTTACTAAGTACCGTGTGCCAGAATGCACAGATCTGGACCAACGGATGAAATTAATCAATGTATATGATTTGAGAGTGTATGATATTACAATGGGGTAACATGTATCATATAATCACACAATTTTTAGCAAAAGACTATTTTGGATAATTAACTACATTTATAAAAGGAAATTTTTGGATGTTTAGGGATGATTAATTCTCCTAATTTAAAAAAATATGAATTTTTTAATTAATTCAATTTCAATTTTTACCGATTATATTCTGTCAGAATATTTTTTTATTAGAATGATGCTCTTTCAGAATTTTATTCTAATAGAATATTATTTTGTTAGAATGATGCTCTTTCAGAATTTTATTCTAATAGAATATCATTGAAGAAAAACAAAATTGTTGAATCAGATGTTGAAAAATAACAAACATTCTAATATATTCTTATACATCCGAACTTAAATACAAGTTCATCTATATTCTTACAGAGTTACAAACTAAAACCCTTATACATTTTAATATAATTATACATATTCTAAAAGAATATTAAGGTCTTCAACGCCTTCTTCCAGCCATTCCTATCACAAATACAACAAAAACTAATAATTGTTAAAACATGTTACTTGCAATTAACTATCACTTAATATATTTTGGTAGAATAAATAAAATATGACAGAATACATATAATACATTCTGGCAAAATACATCGATTTTATTATGGTAGAATATATAAATTCCAGCAACATATTTGATTTAGAATGCATACCACAAAGTTTAAATAGTAAATTAATTTGTGTTGATGAAAAATAAAAAGGCACAAACAACCTAGAATTGTATTCCATAACCGAAAGAAAAAAATATATGTCATACCCAATAAAACATAGAAACGTGGTTTTCATATAAGATTTGAAAACATTATTTTGTAAGAAAGAAGAGCATCCACATAAGAGAAATTGAAACTCATCAACTTGAACACATGAATAAAGAATGTTACTTACATTATAAGGCCCTGATACAAGAGCTGGAACCATACGAACTTACATCTTTTTCTATGCTTCCTTCTAACTGAAAGTGACTCATTAAGCAAGAAAGAACCAATTTTGGAATAAGTAACTAAAGTTTACTGAGACAAATTAACAAACAGTCGGTGTGCAAATCGGAATATTTTCAATTCCACCAACAGGGATGTCATTGTTTATGATATTCTTCTATATCTTCAAACCTAAAATCAAGAACTGGGAATTTAGAGAAAAATCGAACCATATAAAAATCTCAGCTGATTGGAATCGAGAATTGACAATTTATGGGGCTATCCTTGTCACTCTACTTTCTTCCAAATACCCAAAATAAACATGATACCCGAATAAAGAAGATAACATGATACTTGAGATGCCATTTACGGTTCGTGGAAGGAAAACGAAGCAGAAGAGCTGTTGCAAAAAAGGAGCGGACTTCTCTTCTTGCTGGTTGTCTTCTAGAACTCCGACAGGTAGAAGACAGAATAAGAAATAGGGATATACTAGACTTACCAAACAAATAATCTGCTTTAGACCTTCCAGCCTTTCTAAAGAAGGCCACAAAAAAGAAATATATGTGCTAGGGTTGGAACGGAACAATATGCACGCCTATAAACGAGAACACAAGTGACTAGGTCAAATATATTACTTTATTTCCTTAATTGCAAGATTTAAATTAAATGATTTCCTTAATTAAAAGTACAAAATGTCCACAATACCCTTTAATGATTTATTATTTCTTGAATTCTCATTGGTGCATTTAGGCACACAATACTTGCTAAAAACATTTGAACCTAGCTCTTTCTTTCTTTCTCTCTCTCTCTCTCTCTCTCTCTATATATATATATATATATATATATATATATAGAGAGAGAGAGAGAGAGAGAAAGAGATAGGTTCAGGTGTTTAAAGTAATTATTATGTTATTGTATGTATAAATATGGACCAATCAAAATTTAATAAATAAATAAATAATCAAACAAATAAATAAGGGTAATTTAGTAATTTGATAAATAATTTCTACTATACACTCCTATAATTATGGTAATTACTTTGACCTACCTTTATCCCTTTTTAAAGCAATAAACAATACTGTATTCTATCCCATTCGATCCTACCTAACCCTAGCTCCAAAACAGAAGATTGCCACCACCATCATTTGTTGTTGCTGCTGAATTAGGGAGATTGGTGGGTCGATGGTGATTGATTAACCGCAAGGGTGAGGGGATCCATCGATACTAGCGACCCTTTGTGGGGTTGCCCTTCATCGTCTTCTTCATAGATCGGTAGAGGGAAGAATTAAGAGATTAAGCATCGAACATAGGTGGTCTTGGTAGTGGTAATCGATCGAACTAAGTGACCATCTCCATTTTTTTGGCCGAACCAAAGGAAGGAAGGCACGAGGCAGCGAGATTTCGCTCTTTCTCCTTCGAATAAGAGGTGTAAATATAGGAGGAGCGATTTCAATCGACGACAAGGGAGGTCGTCTCTGTGGTTTGATGAAGTTGAAGGGACGAAGGAAAATGGTGGGGGTGTTGCGATCAGCAGAAGTGAAGAATTCGGGGTCCTCGGTGGGTTTGCTCGACGGAAGAAGAAGAGGGGTTGTGAGGGGTGTTGCTCTGATCAGTAACATGTTTTCTTCCCTTTTCTTTTTGTTTGACTGTTATATAGGAATCATTGGGGTGTTTGGGTTTGTTTCATTCAATAGAAACCAATGGGTGTTTGGATTGGGTGTTTGACAAGGAAGGAAAGGAAACACAAACATGTTCTTATTTGTAGATGTACTTTAGATTGATTTACTCTAAACCAATGAAGTTTAATCTTCAAATGGGTTTTTTAATTTGATTTGATTTCAATATATAAAATGGATGTTTTGGGTTGATTATTTGACATAAATCAAAGAAATTTTGGATGTGTTTAGGTTTATTGTCTAATTCTTTCAAGATGTAATATTTTTGGTGAATTGGGAATTTGTTTTGATTGTCTAATTTTTACAAGAAATTAAAAGTTGTTTTGATGCACACCAAGCGCTTGCTAAAATGCTTCAACTGAATGGTATTTCTTTGTTTATAGTATTCTATCAAAAAATAATGTTTTTTATGATAATCATGAACATATTCTGATAGAATTCCCCGAATTAATATAATTATTGGTAAATGAATTCCAATTCTATCAGAATGGAATTACGAATTACAATTATGTTGGAATGGAATATATGTGACATCCCCAAAATCACGGCCAGAAAAGACCGATTTTCATTTATGTTTCTAAAATAATTTTAGAGTAAATCCTTTTGATTTGAAAGAGTTGCGGAATTTGTTCCCAAAAACAAAACATGATAAAACAATGTTTACCAAAGCATTTCATAAAAGAAATGTATTTTTCATTATATAATCAAAACTCGGGGTGTCATGTTCCGATACAGATCAATAAGCATAAACGATAACATTACAAGTAATTCAACAAATATATACATATGCAGACTTGTAAACAAAACAACTTGATGGTTCATCCATCTTACGCCCTTGTGCCACTTCCTGTAATACAAATAAAACTGAGTGGGTCAGGCTTGGGAGCCTGGTGAGCATTAGGGTTTTCAACCCAAAATAAATAAATTATATTTAATTTCACCAACCAATCACTATCCCGATTACCCA